CCCCCTGGTGGGCTGAGCTGGCCACACACACACACACACCACACTCTCTCTCTCTCTCTCTCTCTCTCTCTCTCTCTCTCTCTCTCTCAAATAAATAAAATAAAACCTCAGAAGAGGCTGATGAGTTCTGGTGCTGCCCCCTACTGGGGACCTGAAGACCTTTGTGCTGGCCAGCATAAAATAGCCTGGGAGTGGTGAAAACCTCCAGGGCACTGATTTACTGAGTGTGACACGACAGTGCTGCTACAGCTGAAAGAGTGAGATGTTCCCACAAAAGCATGCCCTTAAAGTGCGTGGTAGTGCTGTTCACAACAACCCCAAGCGTAGACAAAACCAGTCAATGAATAGATAGATAAAATGTGACCTAGCCACGAATGGAGCAGAGCTTGACCACAAAAAGGAATGTGAAGTACTAGTACATGCCACTACGTGGCTGAACCTTAAAGACATGCAAAGTGAATGTGCGTAGGCTTCGAAGTTTGATTCATATGAAATATTGGGAATGGGTATATCTCAAATTATTGGGAATGGGTATATCTCAAATTAGATTTTTTTTTTTTTTTTGGTGGAACCAGGGATTGAACTCAGGCCCTTGTGCTTTCCAGGGAAGCACTATATTCCACTGAGCCATCTCCCCGGTCCCACAGGAATGGGTATATCTCTGTTGTTGATTTTTTTCTTTTCTTTTCTTTCTTTTTTTTTTGAGACAGGGTCTAAGCTACTGCTAATGGATACAGTGTTTCTTTTCAGGGTGACAGGTTCAAGACTGGCCTGGGCAACTGAGCCACCTAGTAAGACTCTATCTCAAAATTTAAAAAAATAATAGAAGGGTTGGATGTAGCTCAATGCAAAGGTCCTGGGTTCACTTCCCAGTATCCCTCCCCAAAAGCACCAACAAAACAAAAAGTGTCTGACTGACTGTAGTGGTTTATACCCTATGTCAACTTGAGAAGTTTAGTAGTTTAACTAAGGACTCAGCAGGGAGCCAAGATCTTTATGTTGTAAACATCTGCAACTCGTGGAAGAGGAGGGTGTGGAGATGATGGGTGTGGGTGGATCGCCAATATACAATGTGCAATATAAGGGAGGAAAAGGGGCATCCCCGCCCGCTCCGGTGCTCTTGCTGCTTTTGCTGTCTTCTGCCAGCCTCCCTTGGAACCAGCTGATTATGAGCTGAAACCTCCACTACTGTGAGCTAAATATTTCTTACCTTAATTTTCAGTTCTGGGTATTTTGTCTCAGCAATGAGAGAAAAGTAACCAAGACACTGACTCAGAAATTATTCTTCTGGAAATGTATCCTGGGAAAATGATAAAGATTTTGTTCTAAGCATATTGTACTTTTGTTTATGAAGAGAAAAATGCCAACAGCCTAAGTGTCCTACATTAGGGGGATCATGGACCCATTAAAAGGTACAAGGAGGGCTAGGGAGATAGTTTAGTAGAGTAAGTGCTTGTCTGGCAAGCACAAGGTCCCAAGTTCGATCCCTGCTACCACCAATAAA